CCCCAAAACCCCAAAACCCCAAAACCCCAAAACCCCAAAACCCCAAAACCCCAACTACATAATCTTCTTATAATCAGTTTTTAAAAAATCTCAGCCTAAAATAAATGAAAATTATTTATGATTAATTAAATTGTGAGAAAAATCGTCAATAAAATATTTAACTTCTGAAATTTGAACAATCAATTGAATGGAAGAGTCTTTAAAATGCCAGTTCTGCTCTAACTTCGCTATTAATGCTGTCGAATCTAACTGCGACTGTGCGCTGCTATACTGTGAAAGATGCTCCCATCTTATAAGTTCATGTATGACATGCTAGAAATAACTATCAATGAAAGAACAAGCACCTGAGCAATAAATATTTGGATTTACTGAGAATAAACTTGCTAGGAGATTAATCAACCAACTCCAAACATAATGTAGAGTATAGAACTGCGGTTATAGAAGTACAATTAGCGAATTAGATAAGCATTGGAGTAGATGTTCATTGAGAGAATACATTTGTGCCTACTGCGGAGTGGGCATAATTGGTAAGCAGTGCTTTAAGGAACATGTGGTAACCACTCATGAGTAGAAGTTTCTCAATATTTTCGACAGTTGTCTAAAGGGTGCTATTATCAAATCTGAACTGGAAAACAAAAACCTAATTGATAAGTCTTTGGATTTACTGTAGATGGATAAAAATTAACCCTAGGAGGATTTTGGCTTCCATATAGAAAATCATCAGAAAATTCAGGACATGGAAGATCAAAACTATCAGAATGAGTATGGCTTTGAAGAAGAGGAGGAGAAAATTCAACGATCTGACATAAACCAAGAACTTAGACATAATATTAAATAAAACCTAGGCTCATTTTAGCTGGTTTCTGGTAAGTATAAGTTTTGGGTTATTACATTTTTACCCTGAGATAAGAATTTAACTAGGATTCATCAAATCTGATAATCTTATTAAAGCTATAATGTTTTATCAGAGAATGAGATATGGTTTTAATAGACACTCAATTTTAATATTTCTAAATTTCTAATATTCGTTTATTTTAGTTGAGGATGCAGTAAACAGAGAGAGTATGGAACTGAGTAGGAAAAATTCATCTCCAAGAGATAATAGATGGCAATGCTTTAAGTGCTAAACTATAAATACATTGGAGCACCCTAAATGCACGGGTAAGAATTACTAAATAATTTATAATCTAGTTAAAATTATATTATCATTATTTATGTTTCTAATTTAGGATGTAAAGGCGAGTTCCTTAAGAACTTTGTCCAGATCAAGGATGAAGTCAAAAATTTCATTGAGAAAATTAGGAAAGATTAACAACGAGAAATTTAAAAGAAAATTAAAGAAGATTAAGAAAGGTAAAGAAAATCGATGAGGTAGCGAGGAGACTCAGAGGAATGTCTCATTTTTTGAAAAAGCAAGTTAAATATTAGTTATTTAAAATGGCATCCTAGGGCATTTTGTAGCTCAGAGTTAAAAACTAAGGAAATATAACACTAGCATTTAGAAGTATTAATGATTTTTAAAATTTTTGAATTCATTTGGAAAAGCAATAATTGACTTTCGGGGTTTTGGGGTTTTGGGGTTTTGGGG